CTGGAAGCAACACTTCCAACACGGCAAATAAAGGTGGGCGGATGATGACGAAGGAAGGGGTTGGCTGGTGGTGGCTAATGAAGGTGGGAAGATGATGGAGGGAGGGATTGGTCGATGAAGGTGAGTGAATGATGAAGGAGGCAGGGATTGGGCAGTGGTGGTTGAATAAAGTGGGTGGATTATGACGGATGAAGGGGTTGGTTGGTGGTAGCTGATGAAGGTAGGAAGATGAGAAAGGAGGGAGGAATTGGTCGATGGTGAGTGAATGATGAAGGAGGCACAGATTGGGCGATGGTGGTTGATGAAGGTGGGCAGATGATAACGGAGGAAGGGGTTGGTTGGTGGTGGCTGATGAAGGAGGGAGGGATTGGTCGATGAAGGTGAATGAATGATGATGGAGGCAGGGATTGGGCAGTGGTGGTTGATGAAGGTGGGCGGATGATAACGGAGGAAGGGGTTGGTTGGTGGTAGATGATGAAGGTGGGAAGATGATGAATTGATTGGTGGATGCCAGTGAAGGTGGGTGGATAGTGCAGAACAGAGGAGTTGTTCAGTGGTGGCCAATAAGGTTGATGGATGGTGGAGAAGAAAGGGGGGGTTCATGGTGGCAATTGAATGTGGGTGAAGAATTACAAAAGAAGGGAGTTGGTCAGTGTGGCCAATGAAGGTGGCTGGATGATGAAGTAATGGGGCTTTTTTTGGCACTCTGCCTCTCTTTCTGCTACCAAGATGTAGACCTGTAGTAGTTGACATTCACCCAGAACAACCTTCTTAATGCCCAACTCCAGAATTTTGGGCTTCCCCCCTCCAATATCGATTGACTTCAGCCCCTGATGGACCCCACTGGCAGTATTTTTATTGTTTTAATAATACCTTTTCCAGGCTTCTCATATGATACATAGGGTCTCCTCCAGGCTTGGTGGTTTAACTGATGCAGTGAGCGTTGTTGGTGGCACCATGCCAGCATCAGTATCTGTAGTGGTATAGGCTGTAAAGCTTAGCACTCGCAGCAGGCGCTCAGTCTTCTGGGTTCAGTGATGATAGGCATCATCCAACCCAAAAGATTGAGGACCACTTGTGGTGGAGACGTGGTACTGTGGGGAACAGCTCTTCATTGAAGGCGAGTGTTGAAATGTAGATTGTTTTTTTTTCCACATCTGGATGACCTTTTTTAAAGAATTAAATTTTGCCTGCAATTGATTTTTGCCAACTTACCTTCCACAAAAGAGTCAAGTATTGTGTGAGGTCTGAGCCCCTATCTGAAACCAGACTGGTTCTTATATTGGGAACAGTCAAAGATATTTACAGAGCTGGTTCTTATATGAGGAACAGTCAAAGATACTTACAGAGCTGAACAAGCTTCTATGGCAGCATCTCCAACCAAGAATCAATCCAGCACACCAAAGCACAAAACATTTTATTTCGCTTTGGATGGAGCAGGTAAGTGTCAAGGCCTCTGTAAGGATTTTAATTGCTGTTTGCACCCCTGTTGGGGTCAGGACAGGAAATGATGTGTAATCTCTGTTCTGTTGACAACCACTCCTTGTTTCTTATACAGATGTCACAGATGGGTTGTGAGGGAAAATATCTCCAGCATTGGGCAAAAATAAAACCCAAACATACATTTTAATGCTAAGGCAAACCAAATCAAAACTGTCTGGAGATAGGCTTGAAGATAAGGGGTTAGATTCACACAACATTCAACTTCTCCAGCTGAGGGCTCTTTTCTGAGGAACATGTCTAGGATGCAAGTCTACTGTAGTGAGCAGCCGTCCTTAAGGTTCCAACACGAACCAGTTGAACAGTGCCCTTTTCGGGCAACAAAATGGCAACCCTTCAGAAATAGTTTTGGAGGGACCCCCTGAGGTTGCAGTTCATGAAATAAATAGGACGCCGATCCCAAAGTAGTGACATACTGTGAAGGTATTAAATGTCATGTCTGTGCACTGGAGATCTGCACAGGTCTAATACTACAGAAGTGACTACCCAAACAGATGTGACACCATCTCCCCACAAGCTTTTACAATCTCTTGTAGCTCCAAAGCTGGTCGCAAGTATAAAGAGAACCAGTCACTTGTGCTTCGTGTCTCCTGGGTGCCACCAGTTTGTACAGCAATGGAGCTGGAGCCCGTCTCCTCCTATTCTTCTCCTTGATCCTGTGCAACCCTGATTATCAACTGACGTAGGAAACGGTTAGGATACAATAGGGTTGCTTTATAACGCCAGCCAAAAGGACCGAAACATCACCTACTCCACTCTGTACCTGAGAGTCATCCTCATTTGCAAAAAAGGTGTCAACAGCAGGGAACATCGCAAACTAAAACAGTTCAGGAAGTACTGATTTGTAGATCAATGCACACTTGACTATTAAGAAATAATATTTTGTTGTTTGAAGTGACTGGTTCTCCTCAGTCTTTTCCAACCTATTTATAAAGTGGATCCACAGATACCTATAAACTACCCACCATATGGATTATTTTTCCAGTGCAGAACTCAGACTTGGTTGTTCTTGGAAAGTGTCACAGCTCCTTCAAAAAGCTTCTTCGGTGGGATGGAAAGGAATGGCCTTTAGCCCCGGATAAAAATTGATGCGACTCTTAAAATTACATCCAATGGTCGGCAATGGAACTGTTCAAATCACATCCAATGGTCGGCAATGGAACTGTTTAAATCACATCCAATGGTCGGCAATGGAACTGTTCAAATCATATCCAATGGTCGGCAATGAACTGTTCAAATCGGTGAAGGTGGCATTGATTTGAAAACTAGTTCCTGCACTACACTTTCGGGTGCAACTTGCATACACATCTGTGCATGAAGTCACACAGATGTCTACAAGCCGCATTAACATGCGACTTTGAAATCGTGCAAGCTTCAAAAAAGCATCAACAAAAAAAACACAACAAATGGTAGGCGCTTTAATGTGTGTTAAAGTCAAAGCAAGTGTAAATGAGCCCATAGAGCACCTAAGCCCTGAGAAGGGAGAAGTGTGTTATGCCCCCAAAGCGTACTTGATGGTCTGCGTTCTCCTACTTGAAATTCATTTTATAATTAAAACTTATGGACTCTTGGTCTTTGTTTGGTGCTCTCATCAGACACAAATTCTCAACTCTGGCTTCCCCCCACCCATTCCTAAAGGGCATCCCCGTTTTTATGAAATGCTACCAAACCAGAACCAGTGGTGTTCAGTGATAACTTGATTGAGTGACAGAAAATCTATATCCAGTGCCTCTTTTTCACTTTTGTTTGGTCTAGATATCCCATAACCTGGAGGAGCGAAAATCGTGATGGATATAACTTTATCGCCTTTTGATATGGTGAACGGGCAATGCCTATAATGATGTGATGATGGATGGGGTGGGGAGGGGCTGAAGTAGGTGGAAGGTTGAGTGATGCCTATAATGATGTGATGGTGGGTTGGGTCGGGAGGGGCTGAAATAGGTGGAAGTTTGAGGGATGCCTATAATGATGTGATTATGGGTGGGGTGGAGCTGAAGCAGGTGGACGTTTGGGTGATGCCTATAATGATGCGATGGTGGATGGGGTGGGGAGGAGAAGCAGGTGGAAGGTGGGGTGATGCTTATAATGATGTGATGGTGGATGGGGTGGGAAGGAGCTGAAGTAGGTGGAAGGCTGGGTGATGCCTATAATGATGTGATAGTGGATGGGGAGGAGCTGAAGCAGGTGGAAGGTGGGGTTATGCCTATAATTATGTGATGGTGGATGGGGTGGGGTGGAGCTGCAGCAGGTGGAAAGTTAGGTGATGCCTATAATGATGCGATGGTGGATGGGGTGGGGAGGAGCAGAAGCAGGTGGATGGTGGGGTGATGCTTATAATGATGCGATGGTGGATGGGGTGGGGAGGAGAAGCAGGTGGATGTTTGGGTGATGCCTATGATGCAATGGTGGATGGGGTGGCGAGGAGCAGAAGCAGGTGGAAGACGTGGTGATGCTTATAATGATGTGAGGGTAGATGAGGTGGGGTGGAGCTGAAGTAGGTGGAAGGTCAGGTGATACCTATAATGATGTGATGGCGGATGGGGTGGGGAGGAGCAGAAGCAGGTAGAAGGTTGGGTGATGCCTATAATGATGCAAAGGTGGATGGGGTGGGGAGGAGCTGAAGCAGGTGGAAGGTTGGGTGATGCCTATAATGATGTGATGGTGGATGGAGTGGAGCTGAAGCAGGTGGAACTTTGGGTGATGCCTATAGTGATGCAATAGTGGATGGGATGGGGAGCAGCTGAAGCAGGTGGAAGGTTGGGTGATGCCTATAATGCTGTGATGGTGGATAGGGTTGGGGGTGGAGCTGAAGCAGGTGGAAGGTTGGGTGATGCCTATAATGGTGTGAGGGTGGATGGGGTGGGGTGGAGCTCAAGCAGGTGGAAGGTTGGATGATGCCTATAATGATGTGATGATGGGTGGGGTGGAGCTGAAGCAGGTGGAAGTTTGGGTGATGCCTATAATGATGCAATAGTGGATGGGATAGGGAGCAGCTGAAGTAGGTGGAAGGTTGAGTGATGCCTATGATGGTGGATAGGGTTGGGGGTGGAGTTGAAGCAGGTGGAAGGTCGGGTGATGCCTACAATGGTGTGAGGGTGGATGGGATGGGGTGGGGTGGGTGGAGGAAGCAGGTGGAGCTGAAGCAGGTGGAAGGTGGGGTGATGCCAACAATGATGTGATAGTGGGTGGGGTGGGACGGAGCTGAAGCAGGTGGAAGGATGTTGACTGGGCTGAGAGCAATGAAACAGGCACAGTCGGAGGCTGGTCTTCTGTTCACCAGCTGTATTCACAATACTCTGAGCAGAACAAAAACATTTTTTTTGCAAACTCGTTTTTTTTTAAATACAAATGTCAACATGTACAAATTTGTCAATGAAGGAGATGAAACACGATGCTGTATTTGACCACCGAACTCCTAAAAAGGTCCTGGGTTGAGCCTCATTCACAAAATAAAACATGGCATGATCAATGTTCAGTAAAGTGGGCACAGATAAAGCTTTCTATGGATTGTGGGTTCTCATGTGTTTGGTCAGTGCGGAAGGCCTGTAGAAGCTTTTTCCACATTCCATGCAGCAGTGCGGTTTGATCTTCTTGTGAATCTTCTGGTGGTTCTCCATAGTCTTTTCCTTTATGAAGCACTTTCCGCAGGTGTCGCAGGTGAATGGCTTGATCTTGGTGTGGATCTTCTGGTGCCGGTACAGCACCGACTTGGAGGTGTAAGATTTGCCGCAGATAGAGCAGAGGTGCGGCTTCTCCCCCGAGTGGCACCGGCGGTGTTTCATGAGGTCGGAGCTGCTGTAGAAGCACTTGCCGCAGTCAAGGCAGGAGAAAGGCCGTTCCCCAGTGTGAGTTCGCATGTGGTTGATGAGCTCAGAATTACTGACGTAGGCCTTACCGCACTCCGTGCAGGAGAACGGCCGCTCGCCCGTGTGGGTCTTTTCGTGGCGGACGACGCCAGAGCGCAGTGTGAAGCACTTGCCGCATATAGAGCACGGGTGGGGCTTTTCCCCCGTGTGGCTACGCTTGTGCTTGCCCAGGTCCGATTTGGTGATGAAAGACTTGTCGCAGTCCGGGCATGGGTGGATCCTCAACCCCCTGTGCCTCTTGCGGTGCTCGTTGAGTTCGGATTTGCTGCCGAAGCATTTCTTGCACTCGCAGCATATGTAAGGCCGCTCTCCTGTGTGGCTGCGCTCGTGGATCACCAGATGAGGAATGCGGCTGAAACACTGGCCGCACTTAGCGCAGCAGTAAGGCTTTTCACCCGTGTGCTTCCTCTGGTGGAACAAGACCTCTGACTGCCAACGAAAGCACTTTCCACAGTCAGGGCACATGGGCCTTTTATCCGGGGAGAAAAATCGTGCAGGCTTCCTGACAGATTCCTTACCGGGCGTAGAATTCACTTGGTCTACACCGGTAGGCTGTGTAAGCTCGGTGGAGATGGTTGTATGGGGGGTGTGCTCTGGTTGAGTAACTTCTGCCTGTATGATATCTGTAGCTGAAGGCTGTATGTGATCATTCTGAACAGGCATAGGTGGCAAGTGGTCTTTACCAGTCACTGTAGGTGGCGTATTGTCCGATCCAGCACCTGTTGACCTTGGGTGGTCTGTCCGGACATATGTAGATGCCACATGATTGGTAACTGAAGCCTGCACATGGTCCACTGGAGCGGGTGTAGACAGAACATGATTGGTCGTAGGCTGCAAGGGCTCAGTTGTAGGTGACGCCTGCACATCTGCACAGGTAAGAGCTAATTGGCTTGTGGAAGTAGCAGCTGACTGCGGGGAGTCAGTTCCACCAGGGCCACATGGCATCTCCTCCACAGTCTGTGAATCATCTGTACAAACAGGCAGTGGTTGCACCTCCATGGGTGCAGGAGGTTCACCATCAGAAAGGTCTCCCTCATCGCACGACGAGAAGTCCACCGCCGAGTTTAGGTCCAATTTGCTCATGATTGGGTCACACATAGTCGACATGTCATCTTCTTGATCGTTGCTGTTCTGGACTTCGTTAGAGCAGCCCGGAGAGGGGACAGAGGCATCGGGGACTAGAGGTGTGCTTGTGGATTCCAGTACATCTGTAGAGGAGAAGAGAACAAAATTAAACTTTTTAAAAATAAATGATTATTAATAATAATAGTGTGTGACTGGGGGGGGGGTGTTAGAGTGTAAGCTCCTCTGGTGCAGAGACTGACATGAATGGCACAGTGTTCCCTGTACAGCACTGCGGTATATGTCACAGCAAAACTGACAAATTTGCTTTGAATCTAGGTGCCAGCTAAAAAAAATTAGGAGTCAGGTTTTTTTTTAGCTTAGCGTGAGTTGTCGGCACCGAATAATTTGTGAGGTGCAGAATGCAGGACACGGAGTGCAGGGGAAGGGTACAATGTGCAGAATGCAGGACATGGGATGCAGGGTGCAGAATGCAGGGCATGGGGTGCAGAAGAAGGGTGCAGGACATGTGTTGCAGAACATAGGACATGGGGTGCAGGAGAAGGGTGCAGAATGCTGGGCATGGGGTGCAGGGTGCAGAATGCAGGACATGGGTGAGGGGTGGAGGTCATGTGGTGCAAGGTGCAGAACGCAGGACATGGGGTGCAGGAGAAGGGTGCAGAATGCAGGCCATGGGGTGCAGAACGCAGGATATGGGGTAAAGGTCACTGCAGGACATGGGGTGCAGGAGAATGGTGCAGAATGCAGGGCATGGGGTGCAGAAGAAGGGTGCAGGACATGTGTTGCAGGCTGCAGAACATAGGACATGGGGTGCAGGAGAAGGGTGCAGAATGCTGGGCATGGGGTGCAGAATATGGGTGAGGGGTGGAGGTCATGTGGTGCAAGGTGCAGAACATGGGGCGCAGGAGAAGGGTGCAGAACGCAGGACATGGGGTGCATAATGCAGGACATAGGGTGCAGGACATGTGGTGCAGGGCGCAGAACGCAGGATATGGGGTAAAGGTCACCGCAGGACATGGGGTGCAGGAGAATGGTGCAGAATGCAGGGCATGGGGTGCAGGAGAAGGGTGCAGAATGCAGGCCATGGGGTGCAGAACGCAGGATATGGGGTAAAGGTCACTGCAGGACATGGGGTGCAGGAGAATGGTGCAGAATGCAGGCCATGGGGTGCAGGAGAAGGGTGCAGAATGCGGGGCGTGGGGTGCAGGACATGTGGTGCAGGGTGCAGAACGCAGGATATGGGGTAAAGGTCACAGCAGGACATGGGGTGCAGGAGAAGGGTGCAGAATGCAGGACATGTGGTGCAGGATGCAAAACGCAGGATATGGGGTAAAGGTCACCGCAGGACATGGGGTGCAAAGAGAATGGTGCAGAATGCAGGGCATTGGGTGCAGGAGAAGGGTGCAGGTCATGTGTTTCAGGTTGCAGAATGCAGGACACGGGGGGGGCAGGTCATCACAGGACATGGGGTGCAGGAGAAGAGTGCAGAATACAGGGCATGGGGTGCAGAAGAAGGCTGCAGGACATGTTTCAAAGAGTGAAGAAAGCAGGACATGGGGTACAGTAGAAGGGTGCAGGTTGCGGAATGCAGGGCATGAGATGCAGGGTGCAGAACACAGGACATGGGGTGTACGTCACTGCAGGACATGGGGTGCAGGAGGAGGGTGCAGAATGCAGGACATGAGGTGCAGAATGCAGGACATGGGGTGCAGGGTGCAGAATGCAAGACATGGGGTGTACGTCACCGCAAAACATGGGGTGCAGGAGAAGGGTGCAGAATGCAATGCATGGGGTGCAGGAGAAAAGTGCAGGATGCAGAATGCAGGACATGGGGTGCAGGGTGTAGGACAGTAGTGCACTCCCCGTGTCCTCCCCAGCAGTGTCTGAGAGCAGAGTGGGCGCAGAGGGCAGCTTGTGTGTAAAAAAACAACACGTCCCTCCCTGGCTCCTTAGCTGGCTGCTTTGCAGGCTTGCCCTGCTTACTACTGTAAGGACCCTGCAGTCCTTTTTCTCAGCACCTTGTGGGTTCTCTGTGGCAGTGCCGAGGCGGCACCATGGTGGAAGATTCAGTCCCAGTCCTTCCTCTCTGTTCTGTCGAGGGGCTCTGCGCGGGGACACAGGCAGCTGTGAGCAGAAGCAGGAGCCCATGCTGAAAGTAATGTGGCCGCGAAAAGGAGAATTAGAAAGATCGGCAGCGGGAGCTCAGTGAGGTGAGTCCTCTCGGAACTCGGTCGCTGTCCTGCCCCTAAATTCCCATTCGTCTGTCAGTGACGATCCTGGCCGTGGTAGTTCCCAGCCCACAGCAGTCATTCCTGTGAACATTCAGCGCGTGGAACGCCTGATCCTGGATCAACGACGCAGAACCTGTCGTGAAATCGCACAAGAGACGAATCTTCCTGTGCGAATGCTGAACGCAATGTTAACCACTTGAGCTCCAGAGGATTTACCCCCCTTAATGACCAGGCCTCTTTTTGCTACACGGCGCTGCACTAATTCAACTGATAATTGCGCGGTCATGCAATGCTGCACCCAAACTAAATTTACGTCCTTTTTTTCACACAAATAGAGCTTTCTTTCTGTGGTATTTGATCACCTATACGCTTTTTATTTTTCACGCTATAAACAAAAAAAAAAGGCCAAAAATTTTGAAGAAAAACAATATTTTTTACTTTCAGCTATAAAAAATATATAGTAAACTCAAAGTTGGTTATAAATTTAGGCCAAAATGCATTCTGCTACATGTTTTTGGTAAAAAAAAATCCCAATAAGTGCATATTGATTGCTTTGTGTGGAAGTTATAGCGTCTACAAACTATGGTATAAATACTGCAATTTACGCCATTTTTTCTACTATACAGCGCTGCGCTAGTTTAACGGACAATTGCGCGGTCATGCAATACGGTACAGAAATGAAATTTACATCCTTTTTTCCCCACAAATTGAGCTTTCTTTTGGTGGTATTTGATTGCCTGTGCGGTTTTTATTTTTTGCGCTATAAAAAAAAAAGGCTGACAATTTTGAGGAACAAAAAACAATATTTTGGACTTTTTGCTATAAAACATGTCCAGTAAAAAAAAAAAATGCAAAAATCAAATTTAGTCATAAATTTCTGCCAAAATGCATTCTGCGACATGTCTTTGCTAAAAAAAATCCCAATACGTGTAAATTAATTGGTTTATGTGAAAGTTATAGCGTTTACAAATGGCGGGAAAGATACTGGGATTTTTAGGGTTTTTTTTATACTAATAATGGCAGCGATTAGCGAATTATGGCGGCGATCAGTGACTTATGGCAGCGACCAGCGACTTATGGCGGGACTGCGGCGGACATTCTGACATTGGGGGGTACTGACTTGGGGTCACTGACATCCCCAAAAACACTAACACAGTGATCAGTGCAAAAATGCTGTCTGTCACTGTTTGCCGCCGATCGCCGGGAAACAAACAGGAAGGACCGGCTGTGACCCGGCGACTGACATCCGCGGCAGTGATCGGTGGGACGGATAGGGTGGCGGCACACTTCGCGCGCGCCCCCCTATCTGTTTACAAAACACACACGTTTTAAAACGTGGTTTTGCCTGCCTGTGCCGCCCTGCCGCCGTATTTCTACAGTGGCAGCGCGGCAAGTGGTTAAGGAAGTGAAGCCAGCTGTCCTAGGATGGTTCAGGCGTAACAACAAATCGTTCTATGCCGAAGCTTTCCAGGCATGAGTTGGGATAAGTGTAGAAATGTAGCAGGGGAGTATGTTGAAAAATAAATGCAGTTTCCACTCCTTGAAATTTGTTCTGTTATAGAAACTCAGTAGTCCTGGTTTGACTTGAACACCCCTCGTAAATGTATAATAACTTGTGACTGTGTTGGGGACATTAGAATGTAGGCTCCTCTGCTGTCTGGCCTTGCCTGGCTGCGGTCTTTGCATTCTTTCCCATAATCCCCCACTAGTTGTAAAATGGAGCAGAGAAGTGCGCAAACATTGTGTCTACATGTAAGGATGGACGGCACTTAACATCTCCTTACCTTCAGATTCTGGGATCTGCTCATTCTCCACCAATGGGTCCTTCTCCAGGGTCTTCTCTGCCTCTTGAAGAACAATTTGCTCCAACGAAATGGAGACCTCGACTTCCTCCGAGCCATTGGGAACCTGACACACACAATGACACCGTCACCATCCAGACACATCCCTTGTCTGTTACTGGAGAATGTCCCAGAATTCCCGTCACCACTCACCTCTCCTGTCAGCAGCTCAATGATCTTCTGGGTGACTTCTAAGATCTTCTGCTCGCTGTTCCTCTCCACTGCCAGGGAGTGAGGAGGAGGCACTGCAATGGTCACCAGATCACCAGACTTCACAGCAGGGAATCTCTGCATAAAACCAAAAACAATGTCATGTGACCTCCCAGAATCCTGCTCACCTCTCCAGTCCGTGTTTTATTAATAGAAGATAAGAGCTATGTCATGTGACCTCCCAGAATGCTCCTCACCTCTCCGGTCAGCAGGCAGATGATCTCAATGGCAAGGTTTAATATCCTCTCTGCAATGGGTTGACCATCCTTGTCCATTGCGGCAGATGACTTTGTACAGCCGGCCTCTCCCGGTGGAAGAGGTGCTTAATCTATTTCACGTCAATATTCATAAAGCCTAGTTATAGAGGACAAAATACAAACATCACCCAACCAGCATGGAAATAATAAAGACACATAGATAGTCGAGCTCTAGCTCACTCCTTTGCATACCCATTGGTCAGCGAGGCTGCATATCACAACAATGGGGCAATATTGAGGTTTGGGAGGCAGGAGGAGGCCAGTCCTGGGTTTCTGCAATGCACACCTAATGTAGAGTATCTACAGTTATATCTCATAAGCCGATGTCGCAACACAGACATCTGTCAAGTATCCTAGAAAACAAGTCCACCAGTCTATGTCAGCCAAGTCTCAGTAAAATTCAAGGACAGGCAGTTCCTCCACCACTGCAACAGCCTATGAAAAGAGGTGTCACTGGACAGTTGTTGAGCTGCCTTTATTCCACCAAATGTTACGTATTTCCTTGTGGGGGACTCAGAGACAAGGAAAATTCTCTTGACCAGGCTTTAAACGTATCAACATTTGCACTGAAAGACCAATGCAGCTCCAACATGTATGGCCAGGAGAGATTGCAGCGAAACATGAGCAGGTAATGGCAGTGCTGTGTTTTCCTAAAGTGACACTTTCCAAGACAATATTTGGTTCTGAAACAGTTTCATATGCACACAGACTCCACTCGGCTCCGTGTCCTCACAGTCCTAGGGTCTCTCAAAAGTTCTTCTAGTGCCTCATTGCAGTCATTTACCCATGTCCTCAGTCATGTCCTCACAGTTCCATCTCATCACTCATGTCCTCACAGGTCAATGTCCTCACATGTCAATGTCATCAGTCATGTCCTCACAGTTCCATGTCATCAGTCATGTCCTCACAGGTCAATGTCCTCACAGTGCCATGTCCTCAGTCATGTCCTCACTGCTCCATACCCTCCATCATGTCCTCCAGTTCCATGTCCTTGGTCATATCCTCACATCTCCATGTCTTCAGTCATGCCCTCACAGGTCCATGTCCTCACAGTTCCATGTCCTCCGTCATGTCCTCACAGTTCCATATCCTCAGTCATGTCCTCACAGTTCCATATCCTCAGTCATGTCCTCACAGTTCCATATCCTCCGTCATGTCCTCACAGTTCCATATCCTCAGTCATGTCCTCACAGTTCCATATCCTCAGTCATGTCCTCACAGTTCCATGTCCTCAGTCATGTCCTCACAGTTCCATGTCCTCAGTCATGTCCTCACAGTTCCATGTCCTCAGTCATGTCCTCACAGTTCCATGTCCTCAGTCATGTCCTCACAGATTCCATGTCCTCAGTCATGTCTCTCACAGTTCCATGTCCTCAGTCATGTCCTCACAGTACCATGTCCTCAGTCATGTCCTCACAGTTCCATGTCCTCAGTCATGTCCTCACAGTTCCATCTCCTTAGTCATGTCCTCACAGCTCCATGTCTTCATCATGTCCTCACAGTCAATGTCCTCACAGTGCCATGTCCTCACAGTGCCATGTCATCAGTCATGTCCTCACTGCTCCATACCCTCCATCATGTCCTCCAGTTCCATGTCCTTAGTCATATCCTCACATCACCATGTCTTCAGTCATGCCCTCACAGGTCCATGTCCTCACAGTTCCATGTCCTCCGTCATGTCCTCACAGTTCCATGTCCTCCGTCATGTCCTCACAGTTCCATGTCCTCCGTCATGTCCTCACAGTTCATGTCCTCCGTCATGTCCTCACAGTTCCATGTCCTCCGTCATGTCCTCACAGTTCCATGTCCTCCGTCATGTCCTCACAGTTCCATGTCCTCCGTCATGTCCTCACAGTTCCATGTCCTCAGTCATGTCCTCACAGTTCCATGTCCTCAGTCATGTCCTCACAGTTCCATGTCCTCAGTCATGTCCTCACAGTTCCATGTCCTCAGTCATGTCCTCACAGTTCCATGTCCTCAGTCATGTCCTCACAGATTCATGTCCTCAGTCATGTCCTCACAGATTCATGTCCTCCGTCATGCTCTCACAGATTCATGTCCTCCGTCATGCTCTCACAGATTCATGTCCTCCGTCATGCTCTCACAGTTCCAGGTCCTCACAGTACCATGTGTCATCAGTCATGTCCTCATAGCTCCATGTCTTCTGTCATGTCCTCACAATTCCATCTCCTTAGTCATGTCCTCACAGTTCCATGTCATCAGTCATGTTCTCACAGCTCCATGTCATCAGTCATGCCCTCACAGTTCCATGTCCTCCATCATGCCCTCATTCCATGTCCTCCGTCCGCCCTCACAGTTCCATGTCCTCCGTCACGCCCTCACAGTTCCATGTCCTCCGTTATGTGCTCAAAGTTCCATGTCATCAGTCATGTCCTCACAGCTCCATGTCATCAGTCATGTCCTCACAGCTCCATGTCATCAGTCATGTCCTCACAGATTCATGTTCTGTCATGTCCTCACAGATTCATGTTCTGTCTTGTCCTCACAATTTCATGCCCACATTATGCCCTCAGTCATGTCCTACAGTTCCATTTTCTTAGTCATCTCCTCACAGCTCCATCTCCCCAGTCATGTCTTTACAAGTCCATGTCATCTGTCATGCCCTCAAAGTTCCATGCCCTCCGTCATGTAATCAAAGTTCCATGCCCTCCGTCATGTCCTCAGTTATGTCCTACAGTTCCATGTCTTTAGTCATGTTCTCACATCTCCATCTCCCCTGTCATGTCTTTACAGTTCCATGTCCTCAGTCATGTCCTCACAGCTCTATGTCCTTAGTCATCATGTCTTCACAGCTCCATGTCCTCTGTCATGTCCTCTGTCATGTCCTCAAAGTTCCATATGCTCAGTCATGTCCTCACAGAGTTTAGTGTCCTAATACAGTCCCTTACCCTATCACATTGTCCTCACACAAATCCATTGCCCTCACACAGTTCCTCACACAACATCTCATTCTAACACAGTCCCACTAACGATACACAAAACAAAGAGGAGACGCCATTGTGTCCCTACAGTCCTGTTCCTTCTCAGAGGTTCCATTGCCCTCACACAATATTGTGTTCTCACACATGCTCTTCTTCCAGTTCTGTACGTTAGACCCATAGTCCCCAATCTACCAACCTTTAGCCAACACTCATCCATGAGAATTAATCCGGGAGATCAGAAATTAAAATCGGCAATGTTGGGAGATGTTCCTGTAGCTCCAAGCCCAACGTAACATATGCCACCGCACATCTCTGGTATCCATGGAAACCCGCAGGATTAGACACCCCCAGTCTTCACAAGGGCAGGAGTAACCCTACACATGACTGGCTTACCATCATCAGCTGAGTTGAGCCATTTTTTTTTTTAACATGCAAGAAAACTGGCAACATAATAACGAATGATAATGTGCTTTTCCACCATAACTGGCTTCAGCCACATCAGTAATGGGCTCAGTGCAGCAATGAATAAGCAGATAATATGGCCTCCTCCCTAGAAATGATGGGTAGACTTCAGTTATAGCCTTCCTTTAAGATCCCTCCCCCACCCCCTTTATATAATTGTCGCAGCTCGCCCCTCCAGCCAATACATCAACAGAACAGCAATTATAACCGAAGAAAAAAACATTACCACCATGTCCTCCCAGGTACAGGAAGGGTTTCCTCCAGTCTGCAACCTCTTCCGGGTTTTGCGTTCCAGCTGGTGCTCCTCTGTGCGTTCCACGCGATCTGCACTCTTCTGGCCGGCCGGCCTTTTCCGCGGCTACGCGCTCCGGTGTCCGCGGGGACTGCAACCCTCTTCCGCGGGTACGGGGACCGGTGTCCGCGGGGATTCTTCCGGTCCACAATTAGCGGTTCCGCCGAGCAGCCGGTCATGGAAACGACACGTTCCGCGACACTGGGAAGCGGAAGGAGTCAGATATCGATTTATTCAACCATACCTGTCAGGCGCGATCTCTACTGCACATGCGCACTGCCTTAAAGGGATAGTCCACTTTTTATTTTTTTTATTTATCATTTTTTTAATTTTTTTTTTTAATATGAAAAATCAGCTACACTCTCCTAAATATTAAAAGCAAAATGTCGGCAACTGATCGGAATTTCCATATCTGATATTGTCATTACAACAGCCGACTGTTGTTTTCCATTGTCGGCCATGCTCTTCATAGGTTCGCTTACAGGGAAATTTTGCAAAACCAACCAGAATGGCGATTAGAGGTTAATTTAAGAAAAAAAAAAATTAAAAAAAAAAAATTGTGTCACAAATGCTCCCCATAGTGTGTCTAATATGTCCGAACCTCCGTTTTTTCTAATTATTTCCTATGATTGTTAGCGCCATCTAGCGGCCATTATGCTGTGGCTGTTTTTTTCACGGGGAGCATTTCCTGATGGTGAACGCAGTGTTTTAATTTCAGGGTTGCGTTTTTTTTTTTTTAATTTTCTATGTAACCAACAGACAGACTTAAAAAATAAAAATGCTTTTTTTTTATTTTTATTTTGACCAAAAAAAAATAAAGTAACCATCAAAATTAAACTAAGTCAAATATTAATGGTAAAAAAAAATATAGAAATAAAAAAAAAAACAGCTGAAAAGTATTAGGTAAAGAAAAAGGTGAGGAGAAAGTTAATTAGGGCTGAGCAGTGTTAAAAAAGGTGTCAAAAAGAGGCTGAGGAGGGGAGCTTTTTTTCTTTTTTTAATGCTCATTTTCTTTTCATACAACAAAAAATTAACCATCAAAATGAAAATAAATCAAATATTATTGGTAACAAAATAGAAAAATAAATAAAAAAAAAATCAGAAAAATAATAGCCAAAGGAAAAAGGTGAGAAGGAAGTTAATTAGGGCTGAGCAGGGTTAAAAAAGGTGTCAAAAGGATTAGATTTTATTTCAAGAAAATTGTATTTTTTCTTTTAAGGATGCAGATCAAATGTCAAATGAATGAAATAATTAATACTATACATTATTACATGATATTTATTCAATGACATTTATAAACGATCTGCAAGTGTGTCCTTTTA